TACTACTAGTAAGGCACCTGTTACTACTAGCGTGGCACTTGTTACTAGTAGTAACAAGAAGCTAATAGAAACAAGGTTCGCTACTTCTTCCGCTTCGCGACTTCGTCCGGACGCCTGGAGTCACCGCGCAGCACTTTGGGCGGCCTGCGACGGGTGCGACGACGACGGCGGTGGGCGAAGAACGCGGTCCGTGGGCCTTTCAGGTGTTTGGCAGGTCGGACTTCTCTTCCTCGGTTCGATTTTGAGAAGAGACTGGTTAGAGGTCGCGTTCAGCAAATGTGGGTATGCCATGGTATGCCAAGCACTTGGCAGAATCGTTTGGTTCCATCCGAATCATTTTGTTGGGAGGAAACTAGTCTGGAGCAAAAGCCATCCATGAATACGCATGGCACGTGGCAGAGGCACTGGCATCATTCTCTCTTGGCGTTCCTGCCATCAGTTGCATTTCGGTGTGAGCAAAATTGGGCGATCCAAGTGTTCCAAGTGTTCCAGCATGTATGGTCTCAAAACGACTTCAATGTCTAGTACCACAAATCGACCACCTATATGTGTGTTAATCCTACCGTATTAAAAAAAAGAAAAACAAACTGTATTATGTAATACAATAGACCGTCTATATATATGATGCATATCATAAATTATCATCATAATACGACATCTCTCAGTGTGTTACTTCGGTCACTTCGGTACGGAATCGCCTCAGTAGCCGTGCGGCTCACCGGTTCCAGGACGCCACTGCTGGCTCTGCGAAGATGAGCCTGCACAGCACGAGGTTCGGGGCGAAGAAAACGGCCGAGATGTGCATCCCAAAACAAGGCAAACTTCCTGAGCCAAGAAACTGGATTTTCGCCAAGAAACCTCCAAGTAACTCAAAAAGTTGCGAAGTGAACTCTCAACATGTTCTCCCATCGAATTCACATAACAGAATACGAATCCTCATTGCGGCGAGTTCCTTGCGCGAACGTGGTTGCTCAACCATCCCCTCAAATCGGGACCTGGTTGCTCAAGGTTTCCAGGCTCCGTAAAGCACCGTGGTACCTCGTTTTCGCCTCGGAGGACACGAGGAGCCGACCAAACGAGCGGTGGTTTCAATGGTTCACCGTGCCTGGGTCACTGTCTGACGCAGCAGCTCTTCCTACGAAGCAAACGATAGGAAGGAAGTGGAGGAGAAACACACATCCATGATTTTGGTGTCGCATGTACGTTCACTTTGTTCAAGTTTGGGCTATCGTATCATCTCTTGAAGGTCTGCGATAGCAATATCTTCAAATCATTTATGAATGTCTGTGCATGCCAGTGTTTCGTTAGGCAACAAAAATGAAACAAGATGAAACAATAAGTTTTATGCTGGCCTGCGATTGCTCCTCGGCCAACTGTCCACGGTGCTCCTCCTTGACATCTTCAGAACTCATGTCTTAAGGCTTGGATACGTCTTAAGAATGGGAGAAACTCCCTCACCAGAACCCCTCAACCACTCGGATGTTCGTCTGCCTTCAGACTTCATTTTGGATGGTTGTTGATTCGAAAAAACACCTGAATTTGTTGATCTGATGGGCACACAGAAGCTGTCGCATAGGCGGCCACCTGCGTGCCCAAATCGCGCGACCGCACGACCGACCTCTGCTTCAAAGTATGGAGCAACCGCAGCCAGCGCTGCTTCAGAGGGCGCCTCGGGGACACTTCAGAGGGCGCCACATCAACCATCATCCAGCCCTCTAAAACGGATTTTGAATGATTTCCTGGGTTCTGATCTACCCATGTCGTCCACCCATTCTCAGATTTCTGAGCCAAGCACGTCATTTTTGGCAGACAGCTTTGCAAACTCCTTCCGTGCATCCTGACCGCGTCGCCCCATGCGTAGCGTCAACCATGTCGGACTGCTACCGTCCAGCGTCTGGCAGTGGGACCCTGTGGCAGAACGTCCCTGCCTGAAACTCTTGAAGCCGGGCAGCATACTGCTTATTCACGTCATCCATGTCTCCCTGTAAAACGTCTGGACAGTCAGCGGTGCTGCGGATGCGGGGGGGCGTATGTAATGGTGATGGAGGGAGCAGAGAAGCAAGCCAGGCGACTTTGGGATCAGTTTGGTATGAAAGAAGTAGTGAAAGAGAAGTACGATACGTTGTATGTTGGTGTAGGTCATCATCACAAGGCAATGGCATGTGCTTGTCAGACCACATGCAGGAAGGTATGCGGCTTATGGAAGTTGGAAGTTGGAAGGCGACATCAGCGTTAGCGAAGGGGAAATACCGTCTGAGTTCGAGTGGGGGGATACCGCGCACGCGCGTGCAGGAAGAGCTTCTCCATAGTCAGCGTCACCGCGTGCGAGCACGGCGCGCGGTTGAAAAGAAGCAAGTGTATGTTTGTTACATTTGGAATGTTTGAAGTTTGCACTGCATACTGCGGCACGTCGAAAAGCGGCATTTGTTGATTTGGAAGAGTGAACGGGCACGTCTTAGCCGGGACACGGACGTTTGATCCCGCGGCGCAGAAGGGGAGGTCGTGCGGGAGTAGCTTGGGCTAGGAAAGGAGTGAGGATTTGTGCGCCTATCGATGCACATGCCTGGACTTGAGTGAGTCATGTTCTGGCTCGATCCAAAACACAGTCTTTTTCCTTTAAAGGAGCCTTTTAAAACGATCCAAACACCTTCTTTATTCTTCTCTTTCTTATCAACTCTGCGCCTTTCTCACTCAGAGGCCTTGACTTTGGCACCTGCGTGTGTAGATCTTTGGGCCGCGGACCCTCGCTGACTGGATTCGGCCAGGGCTGCCAGCAAAAAGGCGACGTCATTAGCATATAGAATCTATCTATCTATCTATCCATCTACCTATCTATCTATAGATCTATCTATCTCTGTCTATCTATCTATCTATCTATCTATCTATCTGCACCGGCAAGCCGGGAAAACGTTCGGTGCGTGTGGACGCCGCGAGAAGCATCCACTCGACCGAGGACATGGTGCAAGTATAGTTTTTGCTAGCTGGCAGGAGCCCTATGCGGATATGTAGTCAACCTCGCAGGCATCCCCACCGAAACTCAATCCAAATTCATGGACTTGAACTTATGTCACTTTCGGTTCTCTATGGACTTCGCGAGTTACGGAACTCAACTCCTACATGCGGCGGCAGTCTGCTCTGTACGTGGGTCCCTATCTCCACTCGATTGCTCAATGCTCATTGTCCAAATAGCTTCCAAAGCCCTTCATGATGCTAATGATGCACTACTCGGTGTCCATTGCATCACTCGCATCACCAGACCATATTTTCACTGCTTTTCTGACCCTCGCTCTCCCCCACCAAGCTCCGAGCAAAATGTTCTCAATACCCCCCTCAAAAAAACAATGGTGAAAGGATGGTTCTGAGGAGTTTTGGTTCATCAATCACCTCGTTGAATGTTCTTGGGTCTTGAAAATTTGTGTTGAGCCTTTGTCATTTTTCTTGGGTCTTGTTATGCGTGTTTTTGGGTCATAACTTTCACTATCATTGCTATAATTCAACGAGGTGGATGATTGTTTAGGTTGTTGTGTTGTGTTTTGTAGTGTTCTTTTCTGGTTTTGAGTTTATATTCCCATAATGCCAGTTTCATCATCCTCTCCATTTCTTATAACCTTTGGCTGTTCTTTTCCTTTACTTTGTTTTGATGTTTGATGCTTTCCTCGTGTCGCGAGTCGTTTGACTTGATATTTGTTTATGATGCTTTCGCACACCGGACATACTAATGTTTGTTCATTTTTACGATAGTAGTATTGTCTGGCATACTCTCTTAATTTATCTTGGTTTTTCTCCCTGTATCGTTGCTTTGCTTCCAGAAACAATTTACATTGCTTACATTCATTTATAAAATAGTTGAGTGGTTGAAAACCCTTACATTTGGAACATTGCTTTTTTGTCAGTCAGAGTCATTGTATCTCTATAGGTTTAAGGGGTTATGTCTTTAAATGCTTTTCAGAATTCATCGCGCTTATGCTTTCCACGTTCCTATTCCATCCCAATAGTGTTCGAACGTCCGTAGTTGGTTTCAAGGGAGAATAAATGAGAATAATGAGGTCCTATTCCATACCTCTTAGATCCTCTTAGCTGCAGACTTCTCTTCTCAGGAAAGGTCTAGTCCTCTGATGCGGTCAACATGGAGCAGCCCGCTTCCTGCACCGCTGTCTGCGCTGCCTGGAAGGTGAACCAAACCGGACCGTCCTGCTTTTATGGTCTGAGGTCATACTCTGAAGCAAGTCAAACACCGCTTACAGCCAAGTAAGTGCTCGCTCGTTCATCGAGGTGGAAAACATCTTCCGTGAACTCTCCGAAGTTGCTCTGCAGAAGAAAAACAACTGCCACCTTGCAGCGTCGTTGACAAAGGTAGAGTGGAGCTGCCTGCAACAAAAAAGCAGTCAACAAGCCTGCATTTCCAAACAACCGCCAGCTGCATTCCAAGTCCTAGAAGTCATCAATGGATATGATATTCCATCAATTTCCATGATATTCCTTTTGTCTCCAACAGCAGGATTTGCTCACATTGGAGCTCGTCTGCTGCAAGCACCTCGGCTGCCACACTGTTTGGGGGTCAGGACGCACTGTGCAGCCCACTGAGGTCAGGACAGCTATCCCATCGCCATGACGTACTGAAATGCAGTTGGCAGTTTCTGCAGCTCTTTGACATGCGCTCAAAGCAGGATAAATCCCCAAGGCTCGACGATCTCCGCAATCTCGGAAGGAATGAGAAAATGAAGCTTTGAGAGATCCCAAGAGGTTGATCCTCTCATCTCCTTCGATTTCGGGCGACTCTCGATGCTTTTCAATGATCTGATCCAACTTCACGGGAGGGATCAGATCCAGACAAAAAAGTTCCGCACGTTGCCCCAGGAGTGGTAGCAGTTGAGGTCGCGGATTCGAAAGCAGCAACGCCCTTCCCGAAGACGCCGCAGCCGCCGCGTCCGACGACGCGAGGAGTCGGAGGACTTCTTTGGCCGCCAGGTCGACGCTGCACAGGTAGCTCAGTCGGTCGCGTAGGGTCTCGGAATGCCGGAGACGTTGCGACGTCCGCTCCACAAGTGTGAGGGCTTCTTCCATGGTGGCAGCTCCACCAAGTGGCCGAGCGATCAACAGCAAAGTGCCTTTGCAAACGTTTCGAGTGGTGCAAAGACCTTCGCCCTTGAATTGCACAGGCCCGCAAAAGTCTACTGGGATGGTGCTCTGCAAAAGCTCTGTAACTTCATCCTCACCTGTCACGGCTCCCTCTTGCAACCTTTCAAGGAGCTCTCGATGTCGAACCAACTTCTCACATTGTCTTCGTGCCGCCTCCGCTGTTGGTGCCTCGGGATCGCGCGAGTGGAGGCACGAAAATGACAGGACCAGCTGATGTGCCGTGGCACGAAAAATGGAACCTCGTACTCCGGTGGCGTCGTGGCTCCTGAGCACACCCTTGAGTACACCCTTGAGTACTGGATTCAACCTGAAAATCTTCCCCCCAAATCCACCAGAGCGCCCGACAGGTCAACCAAGAATGAAAGAGATTGAAAGGATGGACGGTTGATAAAAGGATATAAAAGGACTCTTTTGCCTGCTCCTTGCAGGTCGTTGGGAGTCGCTGGGTCGAGGAGTCGGATTGACACCATGAAGATCTGTCTCTCGTCTCTTGGAACTGAAGGCTCGAACCGATTGGAACTGGCTTCTGAACCGCGGATGGGTGTAGTTGAGACTGTTGAATCAAGCGCAAATGTGTTGAGACTGTTGCGAACCTTCGGAAGCCACTCTTCGCCCGGAGCATCTGCTCTCTTGCCAAGGGACATCGAGAGGCAGGGCATCAAACCTCGTCTGTGACTGTGGCTCAAGGGCCAACGCTTTCGCTCAAGAATACCACGACACAGGTCTTGTGGTTTCTCGCCACAGCCACGGCACGGGTCTGGTGCGGCCACTATGATCTACAATTAAACTACTAATCTATCACATCTGCATTGAAGTCTGAGGCCATTTTCGATGCCCATCTGCCTGGGGACCCCTGACAGCTTGGCCACGGATTCCGCCAGGCTCAACTCTCCAGTGCAGGCCACAGCTCCGGCAAGCCTGTGAGCTGCCTGAGCCGAGACTTAACAGGACTGGGGCTTCGGAAGCGTAAGCGCCACGTGGGTGCAGGTTCCTGTTCCATATTGCAAAAAAAAATGTTAGCAAAGCGATGCAAAGCGAAACGGAGAAGACCCAGCAGAAGTTCCTTTGTTTTAGAGATACACGTTTGGAGGAAGTGGCACCACTACTTGAGAAAATCTGCCTTCATGGCAACTGCACCAGAAGGCAACAAACGCAAGCAGGCCGCTGCAGCTGCAATAGCACCTGTCGCGCCGGAGGTGATCGAGCACGGTCAGTCGTGCAGGCGTGCACACGCGTGCACAGGCTCAGTTTGGCGCAGTGTGGCTGGGCAAGGCATAACCTTTGTGAAAGCCGGTCAAAGCATGAGACTTCACCAGGCTTCCCATCACAAATTGCAAAGTCGATTCTCTAGAACTGATGTTTTGTTGGTCCTGAAGCAAAGGTGTTTATAGATGGCGATATACATTGCATATGATGCCAGCCGCACAGACGCAAAACGTTCCTGTCATCGGCCTTCTCAACTTTCAACGATAGCAAAAGTTAGTTCCTTGATGTTCCTTTCAATGGTTTCTCTTTACTGCCTTGTCCCTGTATCTTTGATCTCCGTATGGAAAGACCAAACACCGCTTCTCTTACTTGAGGGTGCAGCCGGCAATGTGCCAAATTGCCGAAGATTGCTGCAGCATCTTCAATGGCAGGATCACAGGCAAGTGCTTTTGTGTAGCCTTAGGCGCAAAGCTTCAGTTTCCCGTGCATTTGGTGCATCAGGCGCAAAGCAGGGCCATCCAAATTCAAGAGCGGACTAAAAGTCATGAGGTGTTTAGTATGTCAACTAGGAGAAAGGACGCTACTAGGGGCTCCTGGCCTTACTATTAGGAGGTGGCTCAAAACCGCTCCTGGCCTTGAACCGCAGCTACAAAATCTCCCTGCTTGTACCTCCAAGCGGGTCAAGTCCAATAAGCCAAGCATGTTTTGCATGGCATCGTTGTTTCTTCCTCTGTGGAACCTGGCCACCAGAAATAAATCATCAGTAGATTCTACAATAATTTGATAGCAAATTGATGAAAAACAAGTCATCAGGTGGTCACTTGTCATTGGCTGCTTCCTGCGAAAATGTCAACATGTTTGGTAGCTTGCAGCATGGCTGCTTCCACATCACAAACAAGCAATAAAATGCATTTCAAACAGCTGCATTGCCTGTAGGTTGGCACCCTACAGCAGTCGGAACAAGCACCACGAAAGTTACAAACAGGTGCAACATTGCCTAACAGTTGCCTACGCAGTCTGAACAAGCACCATGGACATTACAAATAGCTGCAACAGCTGTAGGTTGGCAACTACAGTCTGAACAAGCACCATCAACACCACAAATAGCTGCATTGCCTTTAGGTTGGCGGACAGCTGCAACACTTGTAGGCTGGCAGCTGCTTGTAATGTCGATGGTGCTTGCTTAGACTGCTGTAGGATGCCAACGAACTTGGTGGTGTCCATGGTGGTTGCTCAGACTGCGTGGGGTGCCAACCTCAAGTGTTACAGAAGTTACATATGTTTAAAACTTTCGTGATGCTTGTTCAGACTGCCGTGGGTGGCAACCCACAAGCGTTCCACCTCTGTGTAACGTCCGCAGTGATTGTTCAAGCTGCTGATGGTGCCAGCCTACAGGCTGCAGGGTGCAACGCCTGTAGGTTGGCACCCCACAGCAGTCCGAACAAGCACCATTTACATGTTACAAACCCTACAGTACAGTCTGAACAAACACCATTATGACATTACAAACAGCTGCATTGCCTGTAGGTTGGCACCCTGCAGCAGTTAGAACAAGCATCATCGATACAACACACAGCTGCATTGCCTGCAGCTTGGCACCCTTTAGGAGTTTGAACAAGCACCATCGATATTACAAACAGCTGCATTGCCTGTAGGTTGGCACCCTACAGCAGTTTGAACAAGCACCATCGATACTACAAACAGCTGCATTGCCTGCAGCTTGGCACCCTTTAGGAGTTTGAAGAAGCACCATCGATATTACAAACAGCTGCATTGCCTGTAGGTTGGCACCCTACAGCAGTTTGAACAAGCACCATCGATACTACAAACAGCTGCATTGCCTGCACCTTGGCGCCCTTTAGGAGTTGGAACAAGCACCATCGATACCACAAACACCTGCATTGCCTGCAGCTTGGCACCCTTTAGGAGTTTGAACAAGCACCATCGATACTACAAACAGCTGCATTGCCTGTAGGTTGGCACCCTGCAGCAAATTGAACAAGCACCACCGATACTACAAACAGCTGCATTGCCTGCAGCTTGGCACCCTTTAGGAGTTTGAACAAGAACCATCGATATTACAAACAGCTGCATTGCCTGTAGGTTGGCACCCTACATGAAGTTTGAACAAGCACCATCGATACTACAAACAGCTACATTGCCTGCACCTTGGCATTCTTTAGGAGTTTGAACAAGCACCATCGATATTACAAACAGCTGCATTGCCTGTAGGTTGGCACCCTACAGCAGTTAGAACAAGCACCATCGATACTACAAACAGCTGCATTGCCTGCAGCTTGGCACCCCACAGCAGTTTGAACAAGCACCATCGATATTACAAACAGCTGCATTGCCCGTAGGTTGGCACCCTACAGCAGTTTGAAC